ACCTCCACACGGTGCTGCAGCTCCCGCTCGCACAGGTGCTGCAGCAGGTGGCACATCTGCAGGGACATGGGGACATTGGGGGCACTGGGGACACTGGGGACATTGGGGGGATTGGGGGGTTTGGGGACACTGGGGACACTCAGAGGACATTGGGGACAGTGGGGACATCTGGGGACATTTGGGGACACCGGGGAGATTGGGGACACTGGGGACATTGGGGATATTGGAGACATGGGGGACAGGGGGGACATTGGGGACGCTGAGGGGATTGGGGACATTTGGTGACACTGGGGACATCATGGGGACATCGGGGACATTCGGGGACACTGGGGACATTTGGCATGATGGCGACATTGGGGGGACATAAGGCAGGGCCCTGGGGACATTGGGGACACTTGGGGACATTGGGGGGACACGGGGAGTGATGGGGACAGGAGGGGACACGAGGGGACAGGGGAGTGATGGGGACACAGGGGACACATGTCATGGCCCTGGGGACCCTCGGGGACCCTCGGGGACATTGGGGGACCCTTGGGGACACGGGGAGTGATGGGGACAGGAGGGGACACGAGGGGACAGGGGAGTGATGGGGACACAGGGGACACATGTCATGGCCCTGGGGACCCTCGGGGACCCTCGGGGACATTGGGGGACCCTTGGGGACACGGGGAGTGATGGGGACAGGAGGGGACACGAGGGGACAGGGGAGTGATGGGGACACAGGGGACACATGTCATGGCCCTGGGGACCCTCGGGGACCCTCGGGGACATTGGGGGACCCTTGGGGACACGGGGAGTGATGGGGACAGGAGGGGACACGAGGGGACAGGGGAGTGATGGGGACACAGGGGACACATGTCATGGCCCTGGGGACCCTCGGGGACACTGGGGACCCCCGGGGACCCCGCGACCCCCGCCCGCTCCTCTGGCCCCCGTTTACGACACCGCTCCCCCCTCCCGCCGCGGCTTTGCGACAGCGGCGGTTGGCGGCCGCGCCCGGCGGCGGCGGCGGCGCTTTACGGCCCGGCCATGGCGGAGGGAGAGCGGGCGGGGAACGGCGGCGGCGCCGGCCCCGGGCGGCCCCCGACCTCCGCCGACCTCGAACGGGCCGAGGAGCTCAAGGCCCGCGCCAACGAGTTCTTCAAAGGTACCGGCGGGCAGCGGGGGCTACCGGGGAGGGAGCCACGGCGGGGAACGGCGGGGAACGGGGGCTGCCAGATAGTGAGCCGTGTGGGGAATAGGGGCTGCCAGATAGTGATCCACTGAGGGCAGTGCGGGGTAACGGAGATGCCAGATAGTGATCCACTGGAGGGAATGGGGGCTGCCAGATACTGAACCATTGGGGGAACGGGGGCTGCCAGAGACCTGGTCACTCCTGACCTTTGGGATCTGGTCACTTTTGACACTGAGGGCAGTGCGGGGTAACGGAGATGCCAGATAGTGATCCACTGGAGGGAATGGGGGCTGCCAGATACTGAACCATTGGGGGAACGGGGGCTGCCAGATAGTGATCCGTTGGGGTAATGGGGGCTGCCAGATAGGGAGCCGCTGAGGGCAGAGCGGGGTAACGGGTCTGCCAGATAGTGATCCATTCGGGGTAATGGGGGCTGCCAAATAGTGTTCCATTGGGGATAACGAAGATGCCAGATAGTGATCCTTTGGGGGTAATGGGGGCTGCCAGATAGTGAGCCGCTGAGGGCAGTGCGGGGTAACGGAGGTGCCAGATAGTGATCCATTGGGGGTAATGGGGGCTGCCAGATAGGGAGCCATTGGGGGTAATGGGGGCTGCCAGATAGGGAGCCATTGGGGGGAATGGGGGCTGCCAGATTGGGAGCTAAAGCGGTTAACGGGGATAACGGGTCTGCCAAATAGGGAGCCACGGCGGTTAACGGGGGCTGCCAAATACGGAGCTATGGGGATCTATAGGGGACAGTGGGGGCTGGCAGAGTGGGATCTATAGGGGACAGTGGGGCTGGCAGAGTGGGATCTATAGGGGACAGTGGGGGCTGGCAGGCTGGGATCTATAGGGGACAGTGGGGGCTGCCTGGCTGGGATCTGTTGCTGTTGATCCCCCACCATTTGGGACCTGGTCACTCCTGACCTTTGGGGTCTGGTCCCTCCCACCCTTTGCGACCTGGTCACTCCTGACCTTTGGCACCTGGCCACCCCCATCCTTTGGGATCTGGTCACTCCTGTCCTTTGGGATTTGGTCACTCCTGTCCTTTGGGGTCCAGCCACTCCACCTTTTGGGACCTGGTCACTCCTGACCTTTGGGATCTGGTCACTTTTGACCTTTGGGATCTGGTCACTCCTGACCTTTGGGACCTGTTGACTCCTGACTTTTGGGACCTGGTCACCCCTGTCCTTTGGGGTCCAGCCACCCCACCTTTTGGGACCTGGACACTCCTGACTTTTGGGACCTGGCCACTCCTGACCTTTGGGGTCCAGCCACCCCCACCCTTTGGGACCTGGTCACTCCTGGCCTTTGTGACCTGGTCACTCCTGACTTTTGGGACCTGGTCACCCCTGTCCTTTGGGGTCCAGCCACCCCACCTTTTGGGACCTGGTCACTCCTGACCTTTGTCACCTGGCCACTCGACCCTTTGTGCTCCGGGCACCCCTGTCCCTCCCTGCTGCCCCGTGCCAACGCGCATCCCTGCGCGTGCGCGCGCGCGGGTACATGCGTGTGCGTGCGTGTGCCAGGCAAGGACTACGAGAACGCGGTGAAGCTGTACAGCAGCGCCATCGAGCTGAACCCCTGCAACGCCATCTACTATGGCAACCGCAGCCTGGCCTACCTGCGCACCGAGTGCTACGGCTACGCGCTGGCCGACGCCACGCGCGCGCTGCAGCTCGACGGCAAGTACGTCAAGGGCTACTACCGGCGCGCGGCCAGCAACATGGCCCTGGGCAAGTTCAAGGCTGCTCTGCGGGACTATGAGATGGTGAGAGCCGGGAGGGGTCAGTGTGTCTGTCCTGGGGTCAGTGTGTCCGTCCTGGGGTCAGTGTGTCTGTCCTGGGGTCAGTGTGTC